TACAAGGCACTTTACATCTATGGTGAGTCACACAGTTACTAGTCTTGCTGCACACCCACCCAACTGGGCGGCAGCTTTACAGTCATGTGCATGCATTACCTACAGTAAGCAAATTTTGGATACTTCGCTAAGATTTCGAGCAGCACATCATTATGAATGAAGTACTTACACATTTCTTGGACACTATTGATGGTGTTATCTCTAAATTCCGCGATTTGTTCACATTCCATTATATAATGACGCAAAGTATGCGAATAGTTCTGCTGACAGAGTTTACATTTAGTCAAATCTACATCAGCAGATGTTACAAACTCCCAGAGGTACTTGTAGCCGAGCCTAAGCCTAGCAGTGGTAACATCTAGAAGTCTGCTAACATTATTGGATGACCCATAGACGTGCGGTTCTTTTTGCATAATAGAATGATGATAGATGGAGTAACTGGTGTGAATTTAACTTTGCCTCAAGTCTCCGAAATTTAGTTGATGTTCCTGGGATATTGCTGCCCTCAGGCTGCTCAAAGGCAGTCCAAGTTGGTAATCAATTCCCTCTTTACGAGCAAAATTCTTGGCCAACTCATCAGTTCTCAGTGGCTACTTTTACATTATCATTTACAACTAACTTAAGTTAAATAACAACCAGTAAACAGACTGCTGTTTTCTAATTCTAGTTCAGGCACTTCCTGGGATAAAACGCGAACATTCCTTGAGGAACTGTGAGGTGCTTATCTGTTTTTCCTCGTAACGGTCCCAAAGCTTCCACAAATGTTCCTGTTTCTCTTTATTGCCCTTGCGGCGACTGGACTTTAGCTTTTGATCAGAAACCAGTTGGTATTGCAAGGTTACCAGGGACGCATCACGGTATAATAAGGGGATTAAAATATATAAAGCTAAGTTGTCCCTCACTGCCCTTTGATTCAGACGCTGGTGCCATCCTTCTACGTTATTGTTGGTCCTCACCAGTCGTCTAAATGCACACCAGTTCCCCAATTCCCACACACTGTTGCACAGCCACGTATTTGTTTATGTAATGAGTTAATTGTGTCGTTAAAGGTGAACTGCTAGCCGACTTTTCTAATTCAGCAAACGCCTTACAATTATGTAGTACATACGTACCACATAAGTACGTGTGTGTTATACACGTACACACACACACACATACACACACCTTGTCAAGCACAGGACGAAGCTTGAAAAAGTTTAATGGTATGCCTTCTTTTATCTAAATATAAAAATTGTACTGTTAGATTTTAATGTAGCATTTCTGTTTTTGCGCGCGTGCGTGCGTGTTTACTAGTTGTGTTTTTGCGGGGGTTGAGCTTCGCTCTTTCGGCCCGCCTCTCAACTGTCAATCAACCGTTTCTAACTACTTCCCCCCCCCCACACACACACCCCAGGAAGCAGCCCGTGACAACTGACTAACTCCCAGGTACCTATTTACTGCTAGGTAACAGGGGCATAGGGTGAAAAAAAACTCTGCCCATCGTTTCTCACCGGCACCCGTGACCACAGGATCACGTATCCAGCATGCTGTCTGCTCAGCCACCGGCTCCCTACTGCGTGTGTGTGTGTGTAAATACACGTTCATATTAAGTCTGAGTGCTGTTCAAGGCCACCTTATATGCAAATCTTGCTAGAGCATATAATGAATGACAAAATTAATAAATAATTATAGCCTAGTGCAAGCAAGGCGATGTAAACACAAACTGTGTACATTTATGTTCATGTCAATATTGACGACGTGTCAATGGCGCGTTGTGGACATCTGTGCCACCTGCACCGTTGGTCCCACCCACCTGCACACACCCCACCATAGGTGCTTCCTCACCTCATCACCTTCACCTCATCCTCGGGTAAATATGCAGCAAGACAATTTGAAATCATTCCAATTCTACCTTTGACAATGTTAACAAGAGTTAACAAAAAGCAATTCTTTGCTTCGCAGCTCTGGTCTAAAAAAGAACACCTTAAAAGAGACCAACGTCGTCTATGCCTTCACATGCCCACTTGGGGACTATTAGTCCCAAAGATCTCAATATATAGGCAAGACAACAACGTCTCTCTCAAATGGATATTAATAGGCTATGTAATAGCCTATTAATATCCATTTACTTGTTCATCTCAATCATGTCCTGTACCATCTCACCCCAAAAGAATATAAGCTTTTGCAAATGCATGATAAATTTGTCTTTGAAAATGTCAGGAGTGCGTTGCAAAACGCTTTCTTAATATACCTGTAGTGTGAAAATGAGCTTTGGAGAGTTACATTTTTCAACTTCCCTCAACAGTGAAGAAAAACATAAGAAATATTGATAAGATTCGTGTTAGAATCATTAATCTTACCCTTTCGGTCATATACGAGAGATACGAAGTACTGCACCTGTAGGATCCACAATAAGCCTATGGTGTTGCAGGAAATCCCTCCCAAGAATGGGTTGTTCCACATCCGCTAGGAGGAAAGTCCACGTAAAGCGACCCAGAGGCGAAATCGAGAACCAGGGCGCGGGTCCCATACATCGTATGACGTCGTATAAAGCTGGTCTGCCAGTAGATGGACGTCAACACTTTCCCACGGGAGACAACTCCCGTCACGTAGGGTGCAGTCGCACCTCCATAGATCTCCAGTATCATCTCTTGATACTGGTAATGGCTCAAAAGGGCCACCATTTACGGGTTATTCATGCCCGTGCCACCTTTTGCGTGGCTTAATCTTCATCATCATCAGATGGACGTACCATTGGCGGCACGTAAGCCCAAACCAGGAGTGCGGGTTGGTTTGATCAGTGGGGGAGTCAATACACTAGCTGCTGCACCTGTGTCAACGTGGAAACGGCGTTTGGTTACGATGTCAGATATGTAGAGCATTGCAGGGTTGGACTTAGCGCGGGTTACTGGCCGTTAAGAGTCCCCGCCGAAGTAGCTTACCGACCAGGAACAAGGAGCCCTACAGTTGTGGGCTTGGTGTCCGAACCTCTGGTGGTAAGAACAAAGCTCTCCTCGGTGTTCTCGCTGTCGCCTAGAGCCTGATACTGGATTCGCGTGGTACGTCCTTCCTGGGCGGAAGAAACGCCGGTTCTGGAGGACGTCGAGTTGTTGGGTGTCTGTAGTCTGCTGTGTATCACTGAGGTGGGGGCATCGTAGCGTTATCAGACGTCGTGTACAGCCGGTCTGCCAGTGTAGCCAGCTGTAGTAATGGGGTGTCATTATCCATACTGAATAGGGCCGGTTGAATGTGTTTTGGACAGTTGTATCCAGAGTGATCGCACAATTTCGTTGGGAGCTGGGCCATATGCAGTATGCATTACATACTGAATATGCCGCAGAAGCTGGGCTGGTGTTTTGTCTGCTAACCTTTTGTCAGTAAGGAGTTGATCCCGTTGTTGAATACGGCGTTTCATCGCTGCCTGTAGAAGAGCGGCCTTCAGCGTTGTGCACGTCCTGGTGTCTGGTGATGGGGCGTTGATGACAGCGGAGGCGGCGAGCATGGCCTCCGAGGGAAGTGTTGGCAGGGTACAGGCCAGGAGATACTGACATCCTTCCTCCATAATTGGAAAACTGAGTATGTAGGTGTATATGTATGCATGTGTGTGTATATGTGTATGTATGTATGGATATATATGTATATGTAAATATGTATATATACATATGAACATGTGTATGGATGAGTATATGTATGTATACATGTGTATATATGAACAACTCGATAAATAATAATATGTATGAACAACTCGATAAATAATAATATGTATGAACAACTCGATAAATAATAATAATAATAAAATAAAGAGCCTTAAACAGAACAACATGACATCCATATATGGTGAAACATGTGTGAAGAACCTCTCACACACTCACAGCTCCCTGACAAGAGGGAGCCAGCTTAGCTTAGCTGCCAACACCCACACATCGTGTCAGCAAGGCGGACAGCCCGGCTGCTTTCATACCTCTCACTGTATTTCCCACTTCTATACTTCCCTTCACCTATGCCTCTCCTTCCTCTTTACTTCCAAAAAAAAAAGTGGTGGCCAGGTGGGGCTGGAGGCCCCGGGGTGCTGTTGGCCGTGGGGTAGGGGGGGGGGTGCTAGTGGCCCTGGGTGGGGGAGTTCTAGTGGCCCTGGGGGGGGGTGCTAGTGGCCCTGGGGGAACCCTGCTGGTGGCCCCGGGGGGAGGGTGCTGGTGGCCCCGGGGGGTGGGGGTGGTGCTAGGGTGCTGGTGGCCCCGGGGGTGGGGGGTTGGTGCTAGGGTGCTGGTGGCCCCGGGGGGAGGGTGCTGGCGGCCCCGGGGAGAGGGTGCTGGTGGCCCGGGGGGGAGGGTGCTGGTGGCCCCGGGGGGAGGGTGCTGGTGGCCCCGGGGGGGAGGGTGCTGGTGGCCCCGGGGGGGAGGGGGGGGAGGGTGCTGGTGGCCTGGTGGGGGGGGGGAGGGTGCTGGTGGCCCCGGGGGGGAGGGTGCTGGTGGCCCCTGGGGGGGGGGGAGGGTGCTGGTGGCCCCGGGGGGGGGGAGGGTGCTGGTGGCCCCGGGGGGGGGGAGGGTGCTGGTGGCCCCGGGGGGGGGGAGGGTGCTGGTGGCCCCGGGGGGGGGAGGGTGCTGGTGGCCCCGGGGGGGGGAGGGTGCTGGTGGCCCCTGGTGGGGGGGGGAGGGTGCTGGTGGCCCGGGGGGGGAGGGTGCTGGTGGCCCCGGGGGGGGAGGGTGCTGGTGGCCCCGGGGGGGGAGGGTGCTGGTGGCCCCGGGGGGGGAGGGTGCTGGTGGCCCCGGGGGGGGGAGGGTGCTGGTGGCCCCGGGGGGGGAGGGTGCTGGTGGCCCCGGGGGGAGGGTGCTGGTGGCCCCGGGGGGAGGGTGCTGGTGGCCCCGGGGGGGGGAGGGTGCTGGTGGCCCCGGGGGGAGGGTGCTGGTGGCCCTGGGGAGGGGTGGCCCCGGGGGGTGGCCGGGTTTACCCCAGCAGGTGGGCAGTGATGGCGGCGGCCTCCAACACTCACCTCCGTCACCACTCATCATACAATGTAAGCTTATACTCTTACTAAAGCTCACACAACTGTCATATTGGACCACAGCTCACCTTCATGTGTTCACTTTCCTCCAGTTGGGCACATGACGCGTCTCAGGCTCACGCACATGCCCCATAGCCACTGTTACCACGCAAAATGCCCTTGACATAGTAAGTAAATTAGGATAAATTTTATTTGTGCATATTGTCACTCACGTTTGAACATGGAAATAACACGTAACACGTGGTCCAGTGGCACAGGGCCATAGAGGCAGCAGCCATAGGGTGAGCAACCATAAACAGGTTAGCCATATACAGTACAGGTCACTATGGCTTATGTTGTCATATTGTCTCGGTAGTCTGTGATTATTAATTTATTTATATATATAAACTAGAAGGTATATTGGGATTGTGAGGATACATAGCATAGTAATTACATTCTTGTAAAGCCACTAGTACGCGCAGCGTTTCGGGCAGGTCCTTAATCTAAGAAAATTTTAAGTAGGTAAATACTTGCAAAATTGATAAAAAATGATAACAGTTACATAGCAAGAAAAAAATAAAAGATGAGAGAAAATTGTAGGTATATTAAAGCACATAGGTAGCTCAGAGTGATTGCAATGACAGGTTGAATGGTAGTTTAACAAAAATTAGTAGGCACAATACAGCATATGGCTAGTACATAAAAAGAAGAAGACAGCAATGAACACAATGATAAAGTTGTTTGGATTAAGTACATAAAGATTGGGAGAATGGGTAACACTAGTATGCATAGCGTTTCGGGCAGGTCCCTGGAATACGACCCCCACGAAGAATCGATTTTACAACCAAGTACCCATTTTACTGTCGAGTTGAACAGAGGCTACAGTTATTGATTTGTGCCCAGTAAATCCTCCCCGGCCAGGATACGAACCCATGACAAAGTGCTCGCGGAATGCCAGGCAAGTGTCTTACCACTACACCACGGAGACTGGCGTTGTTGAGCTTGATCTATTTTGTTCACCCATGATCTAATACTCTAGTAGTCTAATATCTACACAGAAAGAACCCAAAATGTAGCATGCTATCCAGTATTTGTTTTTGTTTTTTTACAGGTGGGTACAGGAACAGACTACTTCTGACTCCTGTTAGCAGGCTGAGAGCTTTCCCTTCTCATAGCTCATATTTTTCCCTTCTCATAGCTCATTAGTTTTCCTGGAACACGACCTGCCAACCAGGTACCCAATTATTACTAGGTGAATAGAGGCCAACAGTTAAGGATTGGTGTCTAGTCAGTCCTCCCAGACAGGATATGAATCCATAATGTAATTTGATAGTTTTATTCAAGGGCCACAGTCATTCTCTAGAGCAAGGTAAGGTAATTATCAGGAGAAAGTGCTAAGCAAGTCATTAGGACTAGATAGCACTTGGATTCTCTAGGGCAGCGTTTCTCAACCTTTGTACTCCTAAAATAATTCTTGGTTGTACTTCAGATAAACAGGGATTTCATTGTCAACTGAGAGATGATTTCTGTCTTTGATCTTGATACTGGTTAAATGAGAAAAATTAAACACAAAAATTACTCAAAAATACATACAGACTGTTTGGCATTAATGTTTTGGTTTAGTATACTGTTGTGTTTCAGGCACATTTGTGCCATTTTTTTTCCAAATTACTGAAAACTGCATCGGACACACCCATCAGGCAAAGTTGAGGGCTACAGTGTTAACAACACTGCAAACCAGACATGATAGGGCTGATCATCAAAACTTTTAAAATATTGAACAGTTTTGTGGATGTTGACCCAGACCACTTCTTTAAAAGGTCAGATAATAATTCATAATACAGTAATTCATTGTGTTGGGGGGACAGGAAGCCAAAGTATATTCACACACATTTGGCTTTTATCGAGGTCCTCCCCAAGGCCGAATTACTGACCCTGCCCAGTATGCAACCCCACATCAAGCTGACTAACTCCTGAGTACCTACTCACTGCTAGGTGAACAGAGTCATTAGGTGAAAGGAAATGTGCCCAACCATTTCTGTCCCACCCAGGATTCGAACCCGGAATTTTTGATTGTGCGTCGAGAACGAACCTGACTACTACTGGGACCCTTACTATGTGTTACCCTTGTAACAAATACAAGGAGCAACAGATTCAGGCATAATAAGCCACCGTTTACGACAGAAAACAGAAGATACTTTTTCACCCATAGAGTGAAAAAGTAGTGAAACCACATACCCACCAAAGCCGCAAATGCCAAAACATTGATTCAATTCAAGATCCAGATAGATAAAATCATCAGGACAAATGGGGGGCCTTTGATGAGCTGCTGGCTTCCTGTCTTTGTCAAGGCTATTTGTGATATGGCAGCCATCAGGTAAATTTTGTCATATCAAGCACAAGGAATATAATGTTCAGCATGGCACATCTTTGTAGTGTAATTCTAACTTGAGTGTTTAGTCAAATTTGTTATGGTTAGAAAAGTAGCTTTTACTTCATTAATTGCAACTGGTTCAAGTTGTTGAGGCTTTTGTCCTAATTAGGGTTCAAGTTGTTGAGGCTTTTGTCCTTGCAGTGATGGATGTACACAGTATGGGATGGGGGCTGTTTCCAATCATTACCATTGGGAATCATATCTAACTGTGGCCCTCTGTTATCTGTTTGTTAGAAACTATGATACCCATTTTAGTATGTCTAGTTATCACAGCCAACCCACAGTTGTATGAATAGCATTATGTTATGAAGTGTGTCAAATGACTCTTTGGGTCTAGGAAAGTGCAATCTACCCAATGTTCTCTTACTGTGTTATGGTTACATTTCCATAAAACTCATAAGTTTGTCATACACAATGTTTTTTCTCGCATAGCATTCTTATGGTGATCTATTTGGGCTTGGCACCAATAAAATAGTAACTACCAGTATATACAATTCACATGGGGAAAATAGTGTATTTAGATCAAGATATAACTGTGAGCCATTTTCATTTCTATTTAAAATGTATATTTGTATATACCTGTCTTTCTTTAATGATATATACAATGTACTAAAACTGTTTTCACTTTCCAGGAGAGAAAGTGAGAGAAGCCGTGAGACCACCATTGTCTGAAGGGTATGGAGGGCGAACAGAAACTTTACTTGTTCCTAGGATTTGCTCTTTTTGTATCTGTTATTTACTGGTCTTCACCATATCACACACATGGGGATCTTACACATTCTAAATTGGTAAGCTTTACCATTCAAGTTCTCTTATTATTTCTTTGAATTTAAATACAATACTGTACTTGATTGCATTTATTGTTCAAATTTTTTATTTTGCTTTATTAGAGACAATCTGGGTTTCTATTGGTTATGGATAGTTATGAATATATATATGTATTCTCACAAACCCAATGTACCTTCTTGTATATAAATAAATAAAATAAAATATAATAGAATTTGTTGCTGTAAATGTTCTACAGAGTGCCCCCCCCCTCCCCTTAATGGTTTTGGGGTAATAATATTTCAAGAAAATAAGAGACTAAAAGATGAATTATGCATCAAATAGGTTTCAACGCAGCCTCAATAGCACGGTTTGTAGTGGTAAATGTACAATGTACAAACTTTCAATTGTAAATAACAAATATTATGTGCACAAGGAAACCACAATACCATGATATATCTATGAGAAAATCATTTGAGCAGAACATTGATGGAACCAGTGTTCTGGGTTAACCCAAGACACATGCCTTAACCCATGGAGCATGAGTTAAGCCTGGCTCCTCTAGCAGTCTAGAGGCATCGAGCTCGTAGCCAGTCAAAGCTTTGTACATATATAGTCTGCAGGCACTCTAGTGTAGGTAATGGAGTTATCCTCCACCAAATGCTCCCTTCAAATACACAAGAAAATCACAGTAACGTGATATATATATGATTTTATCAAATATTATTTCTCTTCAGATACAGCTTCCCAACTTCATCTTCATTTTGACGGATGACCAAGATTTGGTTCTCGGTGGCATGATACCCATGACCAATGTGGAGAGGCTCATTGGAAATCATGGTGTCACTCTAGCCAATGCCTATGTGGCCAGCCCTCTTTGTTGCCCTAGCAGGTTAGTACTTACAAGAAAGGAATCTTAAACATATTAAATAAATATTTGTATTTATCTGTAACATCTGTAACCCAGATGTTGTACAGAAACATCTGTAACCCTGTTTCCTAAACCATTAACATTCCATGACAACATTTCAGTCTAGGGTGATCCATTATTAATCAATTCACTTTCTAAGTCATCCCCAATAAGTTCACTAAATGATAGCAATACCTTGTATAACATCTCCCACCTCCTCCCAACTTCACCGGTAAAAGCAACATTGCATTTCTCAAGAGATTTTTTCAGTCCCATGACGTCCATTATTGGCCCAAATGATTCCTTTATTTTATGTTTAATTATAGTTCTTCCTTTCACTATGGCTACCATCATTTACACACACTTCACTTTCCTTCATTTCATCACTCATTGTTGCATTATTGTCCTCAACCACTATTTCCTGACTTTCCTTCACTGTTTTGTGACTTTCCTTAACTTTCACCTGAACGTTTAATTTCGACATTTATTTGACATGTAGGATGACTTATTCTTCAAATAACCCATTATAACAACATATTAATGCTTATTTTTCACTCCCTAGGTCGAGCATTTTGACAGGCCAGTATGTTCACAACCATGGTACAGTCAACAACTCCGTTAATGGGCAATGTAGTGGTGTTAGATGGCAGGTAAGTATTTTATTAAGGGTGCTGGATTTATAAGACGGCTGAAAGGAAGTGAAAATGAGGAATGACATGGAGTAAATATTGTAAGAGTGGTAATTAACCAAAATGAGTGAAGCAAAGAGGGGTTACACTTATTATGAATGCAGAGTGGTATAGGGCAAAAAAATATACTTTTAATTTTGACGTTCAAGATGCTTGTATGAATAAGTAGAGTGGAAGGGCAGAGTTGGTGGTTGTGATTGTATATGCTCTGATGATGGAAGTGTGAACTAAAAGAATGTGCTTTGTATATACTGTATGCTTTTATGGTTTTTACTCGCGTACCATTCATTTTGCCTGATGGCAAATAGTGCAGTCAGGCACTTCTAATTACTGGTGCTGCATGAAACATTTCAGACATCACTGCAAAGTCATATGGGTATTAGCCAGGAGTGATTCTACAGTACTCGGGCTGCATGCGCCTAGGGTTATCGTCCCTAGGTGCCCTGTAAGTACTGCCCTTGGGGCTTGGGGCCACCTTCCACAAGTTCCTTGGGGCCTGCCTTTGCTGGGCCGATTTACTGCTGGTTTTTTTGGCCGTCCTTTGGGTGCTTGGGGGGTTTTGTCTTCCTTGTTTACCTTAGGGTAAGAGGCAGTTTGCACAGGTAAGGGGCGCAGGGTACTGCGCAGCTTGTTTTCACCATTCATAGCGGCCGGCTCTGTTCCTTTTGGGTATGTTGTCCTCTTTCAGAGTTTTGTTTTCCTTTTTGTTTTTGCCTGGTGAGGGGGGTCTGCTTTGTGTTGCCCCTTAGTGCCTGACCTGAGCACGATTTTCTTCTGGTGGTACCCCCTGCTAGGTCCCCGTGAGTGTACACGTCCCTGGGGTTCAGCTTTAGAGTGTTGCTCGGTAGTTTGGGCACGGGTTAGCAGTACCCTGCCTGGGATTCCCTGAGCGTGAATTCCGTCTCAGGACCCTGGGAAACCCTAAGGGGGTGCGCGGGTCCGATGGATGTGACCCCGAGTCCCCCTCGCTTCGTGCGAGTTCGAGGGTTGCTCGGTCCCCTTGTCTCAGGGTGACACTCACTGTTTTTGCCTCCGTCACGCTTCCTGTTGGGTCGGTGACACTTTCGACTTGGAGTCCTGTGAGTTTTGATGCTTGCTGGTGACTCGGTTTACCCAATCGAATGATAATCTTATGCGGGCGGCAGGCAGCGCAGGCGTTGCATGTGCGTTTTAGGTTGTTGCAACACACTAGGTTGGTTGCTCACCCGGATGTCCCGAGGCTGCCTCGTTTTGTTTATAGTGACCCGGACATGGGGGTGATGGTCGCTTTGGCCTTGGTTCAGTCCACATCCCCCCCTCATCCATTCCTTGCTGTGGTTCGTTCTGGTCCCCCCCTGCTTTGGGGGGGGGGGAAGACCAGAAACCCTCAGAAACATTTGAGGGTTTCGGAGTCGTGGCAGGGTTTAGATGGTCTTGAGACTCGGGCAGTCTTGGGGGATGCCTCTTCCAGTGTGGCGACGGAGGCATTCGAGTCTGATCTCCCAGCCGAAGCCTCCGGGTCTGACCAGTGGGCCCCCTTCCGTCCGGCTTACACAGCTGCGCCTGCCTTTTCTTTTGAGGCTGGTGCTTTGAGGGATGACTCGGCCCTGGATCCTGCAGTGGAAGATCCTAGGGCGGGGGAGGGGCACTGTACGTTTTGGGCAGACGAGTAAAGCAGTGAGCAGAGCAGCCTGTCTTCTCTTGATGGTTCTTATCTTAAACTTACTGTACTGCATAGATCATTTATGTTATTCTCCAAGTCTATGCTGTCTTAAAGTAAAGTTGTTTTCCTATTATGTATAGTACTGCTTTTTTTATTATTCACCTTCACTACTCTACCAGCAATTATAAATATGCTACAATAAATTAAAATAATCATGAGTTATTTAACCAAGTTTAAATGATTTTGCAATTTTCAGGAAGGGCCCGAGAAGAAGACGTTTGCCGTTCACATGCATCATAACGGCTATAGAACATTCTTTGCTGGGAAATACCTTAATCAGTATGGTATGGCAGATGTTGGTGGACTCAAACATATTCCGCCAGGCTGGGACTGGTGGCTGGGCTTGAAAGGAAACTCACGGTATTACAACTACACTCTTTCAGTAAATGGAACTCGTGAAGAACATGGATCAGATCCTAGTCAGGACTATCTAACTAACATTATAAAACGTAGGGCACTAGAGTTTCTAAGCCAGTCTTCCATCCCTCAACCATTTTTTATGATGCTCTCAGTACCTGCTGCACATGCTCCATTTACTCCCGAGCCAAAGTATTTAAATAACTTTACTTCCTTAAAGGCACCAAGGACAGAAAGCTTTAATATTAAAGCAGGTAAAGGCAAGCACTGGCTTTTAAGACAAGGGATTCAACCTTTACCTAGTGATGTTATTAATAAAGTTGATGATGTTTTCAGAAATAGACTAAGGACATTACTGACTGTTGATGAAATGGTTCAAGATGTTATACAGTATTTAGAACTTAAAAACCAGCTTGAAAATACATATGTGGTGTTTACATCTGATAATGGATATCATCTTGGACAGTTTTCTTTGCCAATTGATAAACGAGAGCCATATGAAACTGATATACGAGTTCCCTTTCTGATTCGTGGGCCTAATGTACCAGCAGGTAAAATTATAAATTTCCCTACATCAAATATTGATCTTGCTCCTACTTTTTTGGACTTGGCAGGGCTGCAGATACCAAAGTATATGGATGGCATATCCCTGAAGCCTATGATAACTGTAGAAAGCACAAATACTGTTGCAGTAAATAAAAGCATACCGGCAGTCATAAATAAGAGAGAATATTCAGTTGGAAAATATAACTTTAGTAGTTTAAAAAAATACAGAGAGTTACGAAGGACCATTCTTGTGGAACACGCAGGCGAGGGATATGCCCCATCAGGTATGAGTGGATGTAATCCTGATTTTGCCTTTAAGTGTGAAGACTCTTGGAACAACACTTATTCGTGCTTGAGACAAATTAGTGATGGGGAAAATAGGCTATACTGCAAATGGGATGATGATGAGGCCTTTGAAGAAATGTATGATTTGGATAAGGATCCATGGCAGTTAAATAACACAGTCAAATATTTAACCAAGAATGTTCACAAAAAGTTGAGAAATCTTCTGAGGAACATGCAGAGATGTAGAGGGTCAAGATGTATTGACTTAGCTAGTTTTGTTGTTTAAGCCTAGAGTAATTTAGGAAATTTCTCGATAAAGAAAGAAATAACACTTAACATATCTGCATTATATCCATCATTGATTAAATTTGAAGACAATGACTTGAGTGAAAGCTAAACTGCCATAGTATGATACACATACAGAGTCCATTACCTGAATATGAACAAGGTTCCTGGCCCTAGTGCTTGGTATCCAAGCTTCTGAAGACGCTGCTCAGTTTAATTAGGATTAAACTAATTTCTTGGATTGTCATAGATGGAAAATTGCCTTAACTGGAAAAAATCTGTATACAGTATTTAAATTTGTATTTTGGAACTCCTTAACAAGGATTTCTAATGTCATTATTAGAAATTTAATAATGATAATGAATTTGAAATTATCAATTCAATTTATGGTAAATTCAGTCATTTATGCATTTGATGACATTATTAACTGAAATAAGAATGTTGTGATGAAGTATGGTGTTGGGGAGGAATATGGTGATCATATTACTTGCTCCATATCCTGGACTGATCGAGCCTCCTGGCAGTGTTGTTATTTACATACTCTTGCGTTGTCACTATTATGAATATATTTAGGATGTTTTTAACTAAGATAACATAGGTGCTCTTGGTTTCTTGGTAGCTACAAGATAACAGTCAGATTTTATTTTTTTACTTATTAACTGTTTATTTTTGTATTTGAGTAACAGAAACTGTGTATTGACTCTCTTGAAACTTGCTGTTCTTAATAGGATGGCCTCATGTGCAATCTTCCCAAAATATTTAGGTTTTGCAATGGCAGCTTAATAAAGCTATTCTAGTAGAAAGTTATGGGAAACGGAACTTTCACCTTCAAAAAGTTATGCTACCTTGGAGGATGGTAGTAAATGCACCACATCTTCTTGTGTTGATGATGATGGTGTCGTGTGCTCTGATGAGGATGGAATTAATATCTCACACTACCTGGATTATCAAGGAAGATGAATTATCTTGCTAATTTTTATTCCTCTTGTTTTAGTTGTACATAATTTTATTACAAGGCCAGATTTAAGAGGAGGCTACAGGCCTACACCACCCAAGATGTTCTGCTATTTTTTTGTTCTTTTTTTCTTAACAATATACTTGAGCACTCAATTTAACCAATATAAACCTCCATTAAGACATTAATTAAGTACTCACTTGTGTCCTGTAATCAGTGTGTTTCATGTAATAGCCCACAAATTCTCTGGTATCTTTAATCCAAGCAATCAAGTTTAATGTCCCAAGCTTTCAAAAGTTAAATATCCTTATTTTCTGTGGAGAGCCCCTCTGGCTTCCCGGAGCTATAACGGGCTGATATGCATGTACTGCATTAGACGATGACATCGGTCAATTCGATTGGAGTTCTTAGTCTACCGGGAACCACGAGCCAGAACCTGGCCCCCCTCAGAGAGGCACAAGGAGCAATGGTCTATAGAAACCCCCTTGTGGTTGGAAGCATTCTATGTCTGCCATTTAACAGTCTCCGTGGTGTAGTGGTAAGACACTCGCCTGGTGTTCCGCGAGCGCTATGTCATGGGTTCGTATCCTGACCGGGGAGGATTTACTGGGCGCAAATCCTTAACTGTAGCCTCTGTTTAACGCAACAGTAAAATGTGTACTTGGATGAAAAAACGATTCTTCGCGGCGGGGATCGTATTCCAGGGACCTGCCCGAAACGCTACGCGTACTAGTGGCTGTACAAGAATGTAACAACTCTTGTATATATCTAAAAAAAAAAAAAAAAAAATCTACCAGGTTAGGCACCCAGAAAGATAGGCATCCCAAAACAAACTACAGCTGGTTAAAATTGGAACCGAAAGCCGAACTAGCAAGCAGAACTCCCCAAACCAGAAACAAGCAAACAAGCATGACATCAACATTGCCACTGCACAGCTCCTCCCTCCCTAGGAGGGGGGAGGAGGAGCCCAGACCCCCCTCGCCGACTATCCAACCATAGTTCTGAGGCTGGTGTGTTCAGTGGCAGTTGTTTGACTCTGGCTCCAATCTTTGAGCAGTGCTATGCCTTGTGGTGTTGTGTGAGCCAGGTGTAATTCCAGAAGTACTGGGGCTGCAACCCGTTCTCGCACTTTCGTATAGTCAATATTGACTTATTAAATACGTGCATATGTGACATACTAAACATACTAGTTTACCTTGAAAAGCTTCATAGAAAACACCGACCTTACCTAACCTTCTTAGTATGTTAAGATAAGCATCTTATGCTTTGTAATTTCAATTATTACTTAACCTATACTTATAATAGGTTAAGTAATAATTGTAATTACGAAGCAATAAGATGCTTATCTTAACATACTAAGAAGGTTAGGTAAGGTCGGTGTTTTCTATGAAGCTTTTCAAGGTAAACTAGTATGTTTAGTATGTCACATATGCACGTATATAATAAGTCAATATTGACTATACGAAAGTGCGAGAACGGGTTGGGGGCTGCATGCATAGGGTCACCTTCCAAAAAGTATGGAGCGAGTCCATACTTTCTGGACTCGCCCAGAAAATGGTGTTTCATTACATTGAACGCTGTTTTTTTTTTTGTCTTGCACTTAAAACTCCATACAAGTTATTAATTTTTGTTATTCATTTATGTCCTTGGGCTTCCATAGTCAAACAGCTTATGCATGTGTTCCTGTACTTTTTTCTTTTCTTTTAAATGTTTTGTTTCAAAGTATTTATTATTATAAATGTACACTATATTGCATTTCTTAGTGTGTAATATAGATTCTTAGGCCAGTTATCAATATGAAAATACTGTGGTACCTAGGGAAGCTGACTCAAGACACTTCAGCAACCCTATTTGAAGTGATGATAAAGATGCTTAATGTTAGTAGAATAGCTTGTGGGATGCAGCCTGAATTTGGGAAGTTGTTATAAATAGATGTTTTACGTTAAATTAGGAGAAAAAGATCAAAACAAGAGAATTGACCGAGAAACTAAAAATAGGAAGGTAGGATATATAGGCCATGTAATGTCGTAAAGATTTGCTCAGGAAAATGGGACAGAAGATTAATTATAGATTTAGTGATTTTGTATTACATGGTGGACTTGCAGTGTGTGGTTTTGGAAGTGGAGAGTAGTACTTTCATGTTTCTCTAATAGATGTAGTGCTTTCCTAATGGAAATAGTGGTTGTATAGGTGATATATGATGGTCTAGTTGAAATATGACAGTTGTGGTGAATATGATATTTATGTCAAGAGGTTTTTGTAGTGAAATCATATCATGAATTGTACTGACAGTAATTTGCAATTAATAGATATCTACTAGTATGTCAGTGTTTACAACCTTGTGCCTGGAACCTCCTTTAGTTCCCATATCCAAGGCTCCTTCAGTGCTGCTCAATTAGTGTATAAGAACTTTTTTTTTAATGTAATTGTTTTCCTTTGACATGGTTACCTACCTTGTGCTGAATATAATTGTGATACCATTTTCAAAAGTTTACACCATGAGTGTTTGAGCTTAAAGCATATATCTGTGATTCACGTTGGATTCTAAGCCACACATTATATTCATTTATACAAATTGTAATTAGCATAGAATTTAGGGAAAGTGTGGAAAGATAATTAATCTTTTGATTTTTAATACTTTTTTGCCGAAGCTGTGTATATAACAATTCCTAACAAAAATTGAAAGGTCTAAAACAGGAAATTATATAATTTGTACAAAGCAAACTACTCTACATTACAACGGTGTCACTAACAAGTGGAAGATTTCAGTGTTGTTTCAAATGACTTTTTTTAATATATAATTTTTTTTTACTCGCCTGTACAGTAACCAGTGCAGCATTTGTATTGTGAAGCAGCATTTGTATTGTGAAGCAGCATTTCAGTAGATAAGTGTTGTGATTTTTGGTAGCCTTAAACAGATTTCTATAAGTATGTAGGAATAATACAGTTCACTCATTACTACCATAATATAAGCTAAGTTATAACAAGCATAGTCCTTATTACCATAATACAGGGAGAATAACATGCCATACTCTTCATTGCTATAATATAGGCCAGAACAACACACCATACTCTTCATTGCTATAATGTAGGCCAGAACAACACACCATACTCTTCATTGCTATAATGTAGGCCAGAACAACACACCATACTCTTCATTGCTATAATGTAGGCCAGAACAACACACCATACTCTTCATTGCTATAATGTAGGCCAGAACAACACACCATACTCTTCATTGCTATAATGTAGGCCAGAACAACACACCATACTCTTCATTGCTATAATGTAGGCCAGAACAACACACCATACTCTTCATTGCTATAATGTAGGCCAGAACAACACACCATACTCTTCATTGCTATAATGTAGGCCAGAACAACACACCATACTCTTCATTGCTATAATGTAGGCCAGAACAACACACCATACTCTTCATTGCTATAATGTAGGCCAGAACAACACACCATACTCTTCATTGCTATAATGTAGGCCAGAACAACACACCATACTCTTCATTGCTATAATGTAGGCCAGAACAACACACCATACTCTTCATTGCTATAATGTAGGCCAGAACAACACACCATACTCTTCATTGCTATAATGTAGGCCAGAACAACACACCATACTCTTCATTGCTATAATGTAGGCCAGAACAACACACCATACTCTTCATTACCATAATATAGGCCAGAATAACACATTATACTCATTACTATTATAATACAAGCAGGAATTACAATACTATGTACTGTACTGCCAAAATATAGAGTTTAAATGAAAGGCAATGTGCAGCAATTGCCCCTGTAAACTCAGCAGTAAGTAGAAGACCTAGATGTAAAACAATGGGTGGATTGTGTTCTGGGGAAAACTTGGCACTACATAACCAATTTAGCTCCAGCATGTGCCCTATGGCCCAAATCCTGACTTAAAATTCTATCATAATATAAGCAAAGAGGATGACACAGGATGCTGTTTACTACTGGAATACAGTACCCGTGTGGTGTAGAGGTTAACTCCCTTGCTGACTTGACTGGCTAGTGAGTGGTTATGTCTGGATACCTAGAGAGACCTTCCTTGGCTTGAACTCCAGGCAGGGATGGATGACTGATAGGGCACTATTTGTTCACTATTTGTTCCTTGTGAATCCAACAGTAATTGAGGACCTAGATGTAATATGATTAGTGGATCCATAGTCTATGAAAAGCACAGCACTGAATAGCTTAACTGGTTCCAGTAGGTGGCCTAAAGCCTAAAATCCCCCCAAAACAAAAATACATGCACACACACACACATATATATATCAAAACAGATGCAGGACCAGAAAACAGGATTGGTTCAACAGAAATTGTGAGAGGACCAGATAGGAAAAGAAAAAGAAAATGGATTCAGTATAGGAAGAGACCTAACCTGCAAACATATCAGCACTACAAGCAAGCAAGAAACAATTACACAACGTTAAGGAGAGAGGCAGAGAGGAACTTTGAGAAAGAGATAGACAAATGTAAAACAAATCCAGGCCTTTTCTAAATTCATTAAAAGCAAGCTTGCAGGTAAAGGATAAAATCCAGAGATTGAGAATGGGGAACAGGACTCCTGAGAATGTAAAAGAAATGTGTGATATGCTAACTTTCTAACTTCAGAATTGCTTTTAAATACATGGATGGAGAAATACTAAAAAATTGTTCACAACTTTTGTTAGACCAAAGCTGGAATATGCAGCAGTTGTATGGTGCCCATATCTTAAGAAGCACATCAACAAACTGAAAAAGGTGCAATGACATGCCACTAAGTGGCTCCCAGAA